AATATTGGAGCTCCTAGCAATATGAAAACTGAGCTTGATTCTTTCTTGGATGAGCCTATTTTGCCTCGGTCAGATGATTTTGATATATTAACATGGTGGAAAGTAAATGCAATCAAATATCCTACTTTATCTCAAATTGCAAAAGATATTTTGGCTATCCCGGTATCTACAGTGGCGTCCGAATCTGCCTTCAGTACTAGTGGTAGATTTATTAGTCCACACAGAAATAGGCTTCACCCCAAAACTTTGGAGGCTTTAATGTGTACTCGAGATTGGTTATGGGCCGATATTCACGATACGATGTACATAAACATTTGCTTTTCATATTGTTCCTTTTATGAATTATCTTATAACTAATTATTTTACTTTATTAATAGCGAATTCTGCGCCATCTGCATATTTTGGATGTTGCTCCAAGATGAATGATGAGGATATTGATGATGAGGTAATTTTATTTATCAGATAATGTAAATTTTAATATAGTTATTATGATGATATTGATTATAATATCTCTTTCGTTTTTCAGGAACCATCTTGTGTCATCTCTGGCCCTGCTGATGAATGAAGTTATGAAGATGTTTTTAGCTGTTTTTCTTGTTGGAAAATTTTCATCTTGTGAAGTTTTCTGCTTTATTTTGTTGTTTTGTGTGGAGAATTTGTAATTTGTTACTGGACACTTAAGTCGGAACAAGAAGTAACTATGTGCCACATTTCTTGCATTTCAAATGAACGGTAGTATGTATTTAATTTTCTGAGAGTTTATGGATTTATGTTCTTAAATTTGATGAACAAATATTTTCTGAAAGTAGAGTTATCTTTTTCTTGTATTTTATGCAATTAATGGTAAAGTTTCCTTGACCATATAATTGGAATTTTTTGAGACACACAAAAAATAAATAAATAAATGGGGCACATAAACGAGGTAGGCCCCCGCGCCCCGAACCCGCCCCGTTACCATCCCTAGACTCAACCTGACACATGATAAACAAATCATTCTCACACTTTGTCAAGTACTCCTCGTCGATACCATACTTGGAGGCCAGGATAATTGGATGGGGCCGCCCCTAGAATCCCATTGGGCGAGTATCGACAGTAAGACACGGCCTGTTGAGCCAAGTGGGGACTGTCTATCATTGGTAACATGAGGCCTTGAGGGCCTAAATCAAGGGCCTTTTTGGCCCATGTAAGTGAACACAGGTTGCCGGAGTATGGTAGGAGTGGCGGCGACAGAGAGGGCCTGCAGGCAAGGGAGGGCGTCGGAGATGCCGCCGTGGCCATGTTCCATGTCTACAACTACGAAATCGTAGCCGACATAGCCAGTGATTTCGGCAAGGACGGGAGAGAAGCTGCACAGAAAAAGGCCATAGAGAGTATCACCTTTGTGCAGGCGGGATTTCATTGCAGCCATAGATGCCATGGTTTGGAAAGATTATGGTGTTGCTGTGGTTTTTTAGATATGAATTGATTGTTGAATTGTGGAGTGAAATTTATACAGTGTATTTATTTGCAGATTGTGGGCCGTTGTCTATTCTGCTTGGGCATGCAAAGTTGAAAAGACATGTGGCAGTTCCCTTCCAGACGTCGATTCTTGCCGAAACTTCATACATCATACATTTATAAAATCAAATTTTGAAAAATATGATTTTAAATAATAATTTTTTTAAGAATGTGTGGTAAAAAAAGAATGAATTTTTTTTATTTATGTGTAATATTATTTAATTGAAGAATGTATAGTCGAAAAAAGAGACATTAAAATAGTTTTGAATAAAATGAACCCCAAACCAAGGCATTTTCCAATTTGTTAGACCCAAACATAACCTATGTTTCGTTCATGCTTTTTATTATTATAAAAACCTATATATACTATCCATTTTTTTTCCCAAAAATGCTTTTATTAAAACTAAATTACTATGGTCAGCTCGTGCAATAAGGTGTTTTTTGGTTAAACCACAATGAACACAACCCTCGTATTTAGTTGCATTTGGAACTTGAAGAGACTATCAGTAATCGAGTAAAAGTTTCATTAATCATTGAGCTTTGAACTTTGTCATGTTGTGGTCACTCAACTTAGTAATGCTTCTGATCAGTCACTGAACTTGCAGAATGTTACCTCCTTCCATCACCAAACAACCGGCTGTTTGGAAGTCAGCCCAAGTGGCTTAACGGAGTCCGGCGTGGCAGTGATGCCATCATTTCTTTGGCGAAGTCAAAGTTTAATTTTCATTAATCACCCATTTCCTTCAATTGAACGAATCCTGTCTTCCTCACAAACGAAGTCGAACCCTAATCTCCCAACCACCGTCGCCATTGCAGACATTGAGGTGGGCTCGAGCCCTGAAATTGAGATACGAATGAGGAAAATTGTTGGATTACCACTGAGATTCGAACGAATCCTGTCATTCATCCCAAACCGAATTCACCCCCTGAACGAAACTTACTCTCCCCCTTCCCGTCGCGATTGCAGAAGTTGAGGCGGAATCAGTTCGAGAAATTAAAGTCGGATGGAGCAACAATGTAGGATTGCCACTTGAAGTGAACTGGAAGTAGCTAGCTTGATTCTCACTGCATATTTCAGTTGGTTTCACTTCTTTGTGAATTTTCAAACATGGAGGGAGATCATGGAGGTAAAGCCCACCCTTGATTTGAAATATAATGTGTGTGTTGCCTGTAATAATAGCCCTATCTCATGGGTGATTCATGAACTGAAAAGGAAGACCCTGATTTCATTGTTATGGGTGATTCATGAACTGTAAGTAATTAATCTCATTGTTTTCATTTTGTTGACAGATAACGAGGAAGACCCTGATTTTGTTCATTCCGAGGTTGACATGGCTTCTGAGGATGATGATTTTATGTACGATCGCAATGTGACAGATGGCCTCGAAATTGGTCCGAACATGAATGAAGCAGGAAATGACGTAGTACTGAACTGGAAAGGGGAGGTGGACGACGATGACTTGGAGTATCCATCATCTGAGGAGTTATTATTGGTTTGTTCATCGGACAAAGAAGTTGGTTCTCACTTTCCCGAAGAATATGAGGAATCTGCAGTTTGAGGTTGGACAACTATTTCGGTCAATGGAAGAGTTTCGGATTGCAGTGAGAACATATGATGCTCTCAATGGTTAAACATGGACTTCGACGAGGTCACTCAACTTTTCCCTTTCCTTTTCCATCAGTCTCGGTAAGGCCCCTTCCTTTGCGCTTGGTAATGTTGATGGATATCTCGGTATCTTTTTCTTCAGTTATTTGAGCACATTTGTTGAACATACACGACAGGTCTTGACAACTCAAATTCGCAACAGGCTGTACCTCATCCTTCCACTAAAAATGACCACAATCCCTAGTGCAACAGAAAAACAACTTCCAAACGTTTGAAGTGTTTTTCTCCACCTCCATACATTTCTCAAATCCCTGCCGATATTTCGGACATCGTTTCTTGGTTGGACAGTCCTACAAGTAGTGTCCACGCTTCCTACAACTGTGACATATGCCCTTGTTCTTCCCTACCATGACACTTGAAACAATAGAAAGGTGTAAAAAGTAATTAGCACAGTAACGTGAAAAAAAAAAATGCATGAAGCTACAGTAATATATGGGCAATTCAAGTAGCAGATTGGTTGCAGTGTTAAAAGAAATTAATGAAGGTTTGGATATTGTGAGGACCAAAGTTCAGGCTTTGACAGCTAAGGTATTACTGATTTCCAAAACTAATAAAAAATTAATAAAGTTCGTGTAAAACTCTCCCCTGCCCCCAACCCTGAAGTAGGAAAAATAGAAAATTACTCCACACACCCCCAACCCAGTAGCAGATTCCAGTGCAATGCCTGTGCCTAGACAAAGCTTATTGGTAAAAAAAGAAGACATTGCAGGTACTTGTGAACTACCTACAATAGTGGCCTATTATTTGTCCATAATCCCAACTTTATTGATGGAATTGGCAGTCCTATAGAGCTTGTTGCTGTTTCTTGCATGCATATACTTTGCTGGTTCTCAACTGTGTTACGGTTGAAGTTATGCCCCTGGATTTAGTTTTCAGGTCAATTTCCACAACCTATTTTGTATGCCAAGTATATAGCAGTAACTTAAAGACTCCCTTTCCTTTGTTACATTTAATGATACTAACAGTAACTCAGGGAGAAGACCACAATAACTCGGAGAAAGAAGGCTATTGTCCATTAACTCAGCAGAAAATCAAGTGCAATAGATACCGTGCAATAGATATTGTGACCAGAGTCATCTGCAAACCCAGTTTAGCTATTGTCCATTACAGCAAAGAAGGCTCTACCGCAGTAAACAACCATACAATAATTCCTTTTCTATTTCCATCATACATATTAAGCACTGCCTATTAAACAAGTAGCAGTAATTTCCAAGGCACAAATGAATCACTAAGCATCAATGATTCCAGAAACCAACCCATTATTGAAAAAACGTTCATGAGTAACAATAAAATTAACCAGAAATTGAGAATTCTTTACCTTCAACGAATCTATATTGGCTGAACAAGTTCGTTCCAGGTGGGGCGATTTCAGTTCGGACAAGATTTAGGGCTCCTTGAACGAAGGTTTTGGAGGAATGTAGTGCAGCTTCAGGTCGTGTTTTCGGAAATGTAAGGGAAGCAATTTGGGCGAGTCGACATTTAGGGAGATTTTCTACTGGATTTGGTTGGGGGATTTCGAATTTGGGGAATCTCTCTCAATGTAGACCTAATTTGGGTCGGATTTGGCTGGGGGATATCGAATTGGGGATTTCCAAATATTAATGTCTTACGTGGCCAAGGAAATGACGGCGTCATCACTGCCACGTCGGACTCCTTTAAGCTACCTGGGCTGACTTCCAAACGACCGGCTGTTTGGTGATGGAAGGAGGTAACATTCTGCAAGTTCAGTGACCGATCAGAAGCATTACTAAGTTTAGTGACCACAATGTGACAAAGTTCAAAGTTTAGTAATTAATGAAATTTCTTATTCTCAGTAATAAGGTGGATGAAAATGAGGACAACGTCATCACATATTGTATATTTGGGCCCTATTTGGAAGGGATTCTCAAAATTTTACATTAAATCAATTCTCATTTTCAATCACACATTCTTCAATTAAATAATATTTTTCATCACATCAATAATTTTTTATTCTTTTTCAACCACACTTTTCCCATCGTATCACTATTCAAAATTAATTCTTCTCCCAAAGAAGCACTTGATATGAAATATGAGTAGAAGCGAGAAACTTTCAAATTAGTAAAATGTTTAGAACTCATTATACTTTAGTACTCATTATTTCAATTCCATACGTCCGTCTGAGTAGAAAGTCGGTTATCTTACACCCTGTTTGGCCCCCATTTTTTGGATTGAAAATTTATAGAATAGTGATTGATAGGAAAATATGTGACGAAAAAATTTTAAATTTGTGTGTAATATTATTTTATTTGAGAATGTGTCATTGAGATGAAGAGAGAAAAAATGGGGCTCAATCGGGGGCTTATTCTTTAGAACTCATTATTTCAAATTAACTCATTAAAAATAAACATTTTGCCGGGAGAGAAGCGAGAAATTTTCAAATTAGTAAAATGTTTGAAATTTTCAATTGAGTTGAGTAGTACTTTTCATCAAGAACAAACTTTTCCAAATCAAAGAAAAAAAATTTATTCCCTGAAAACTAAACCTGCAATTGCAAATTGATCATTCACTCCAGTACTTCTCCTCCTCCTCAGCATCTTTACTCTCTTCCCTCTCCTCATTAGACCCTTCAACCAAACTCATTTTAAACTTGTTCACATTCTCCACCACAGCATTCCTAAACAACCCTACATCCACGGCGCCCGCCACCATGTGATATCCTCTCAGCCTCATGTCCTCCGGGCTATCGTGCGGCATTGCGAAACCTGACAAATAGGCCCCACCTTTGGTCCCCAGTACTGCTTTCTCAGCTGATCGCATCACTTCCTTCACCTTCTTGTTCCCTGGATCCCACAAGTATCCCATGCTCGCGCTCAAATCTAATGGGCCCATCTGAATGCAGTCAACCCCATCGATGGCTGAGATTTCTTCGATTTTCTTCACGCCCTCCTCGGATTCTACCTGGCACATGATTAGGAGGGCTTCTTCGTAATTGCTTAGATATCCTTCGTTGATGCCATAATCTGATGCTCGAACTATGGTGTGGGCTGAGCCTCGAACGCCACTGGGCGGGAAGCGGCAGTAGGAGACAGCCTTTCGGGCTAATTTTGGGCTGTCAATCATGGGGAACATAATTCCTTGCGGGCCCAGATCGAGGGCTTTCTTCGCCCAGGTGGCGGAGGACTCCGGCAGGCGGAGAATGGCAGCTGTATTGGTGGCGGCGAGGGCACGAAGGCAAGGGAGGGCATCAGAGATCCCTCCGTGGCCGTGTTCCATATCAACCACAGCAAAATCATAGCCTGCAAGGCCAGCAATCTCGGCTAGAGTCGGGGAGAAGCTAAGGAGAAAGATCCCGTATAGGATCTCCCCATTCTTGAGGCGGGCTTTCAGTGTTAGCTGTCGGTCGGAGGAAACAACGGTGGCGGCGGCGCTGGTGGCGGAACGCGGAGGTCTTTGATTTAAGGATTTAACATATGGGTCTATTGCCTTGATTAGGGTTAGGGATTTAGAAAAAGGAATGGAAACGTGATGTGGTGGGGCTGTTGGAAGATTATTGACATAAACGATTTTTCGGAAAGGGTACGGTGATGAACGAGGAGGAGGTAAGGCGTATGATACAGAAGCCATTACTGAGAACACAAAATGAACTGGAGAAGACGAGTGTATTTGTAGAATTTGGGGATGGGCTGGGATGGGATGGGGATTTCACGCTCGTTTACTTTTTTTCTACTAAAATTATTCACTAACAAGAAGTGGTTGATTTTGAACCATTTTATCCAAAAACGACAACAGTGAAAGCAAAATCAAATTTTGAATTAAAAAAAAAAGTACTTACTTACAAACTTTTATAAGCTTAGCCAAACATGCCATAAGCCGAAAAGACATTGACATGACTCTGCCAATTATAGAAACAGTTTCAAGTAAACAGTCACTTCTAAAATTTAAATCAATAATTTCCAGCAATATGGTGCCGTGATCTAAAACAGCAATAAATCCAGTGAGAAACAGTATAAATTAGTGCAACATAGGGATGATAATTATATCAATAAGTGTTTACTTCCAATAATCTGAATCATAGCTTCAATGCTGCTTTTGCCATTGCCAATGCTCCCTCGTAGGTTTTATTTCCACCAATAAACCCACTCATATGGACAAAAATGCCACCTGGAATACCGTATGCTTTTGATAGTTCATCGTCTCTCAAACCTCGCCACTGAGCAGGTAGTGGCCTCCGGCTCTCAAATCCATTGGGCACTGTTGACACTGCTTGGACTCGCCAATTTTTGCTTCGGCCGTCCTAAAACAATATGTAATCACGTAAACTATAATAAAGAACAATCTAACTTAAAGCTCAAATCAGAAGTTGAATCTAATCGTCCTCTTGCTCAAATTATAATATTCCTAAATGAGAAGGGGAATTATATCATTCTGGTATATATTTCATTGACATGAGGATATGGGGACGCAGACATATGAACACCAATACCAATACGAAAAAAGATACAGAACTATTCCTAAATGAGAAGGGGAATTATATCATTCGGTATATATTTCATTCACATGGGGATATGGGCATGCAGACAAATGAACACCAATACGAAAAAAGATACACAACTACCTACCTCATAAAGTACATATTTGATGGATGGATCAATCTTATTCTCCTCTTCAAGCTCAAACAAGTGAAGTTTCCACTGTCGAAATACAACCAAATGAAAATATCTCAGTGTGAAATCCGTACAACATTAATTATCATAATAAGTTGTTTTCTAAGAAAACATTCCAATGATTTTATTAAATAAAAAAAGAGGAGCTAGCTAGTTACACTAAAATGAAACATTTGTTCAACTTTCTTCAAAATAAGACGTATAGGAAGGGTGAAGGGTGATGATGAACTGGCCAGAATATCAAACGTCCAAAAATAATGTTTTATTACTTCTGCGATATAGGAACTCGAAAGCATGTGTTCACACTTAATCTTTGTGGAAGAATGTAGAACTTTTAGAATACTGAAGTTTCTCAGGCTATAATAAACTGCAATAAGTTTTAAGAACTTCCCTCCCTCTCAAAAGTTGTGCGCGAAAAGAACTACACATACACTGACTTAACTGTAAATTGTCAACTCATCGGCACATAAGGAATTATTACAAACTAAAAATTATACATCAATTTCTGATGATAGATTCCATGGAATGAGGACAGCTATTAAAGTTGCATTTACGAGAACTTTCCCAAAGAACAAATGGATTATGTAATGGAAATGTCACAGCATCTAAATAGACTCCAACATGACATATCTCTTAATACAAAGACAAAAAGTTCTTTCTTAAGCCTGACATCCAATTTAGATTGTGATGGCAACATCATTTGGTATTTATAGGAACATAAAAGAAAAATTTATGTAGCAGAATGATCAGCAAACACTTACAGGACAAAATCTATCCAAAACCATTATTTCTCCACTAGGATCAACATCACCCCTTGCTGCAAGACACTCCATGACAATCGACCTTGCTGGTAACCATGACCGTGCATGAAAGCGTACACTCTGAGGACATAGAAAGATTTTTCAACTACTTAGATCCTTCTACATTTTCAACAGAATATAAAGCTCAAGTTTCAAATACATTTTCCCATAGCAAGTCTGTAAGATGAAAGACCACAAACCACCCTATTTGTCTATTTTATTTTTCTAAAAGAGAAAATGATGTATTTTCACAGTTCTATATATACAGGATAAGAAGATTTGTTGACATATATTAGAGAAAACTTACATCTAAAAACTCACTGCCAGCTAGAGCCATTGCACGTTCAAAAGCTGCATTTTCCTTTTCGGCTGACTGATCAGGATCTACCCAATCCAAGTTAAATTTCCCAACTCTTGAAGACAGATGTGTATTATTTACATATCTTGGTGGCTGGTCCGTGTCATACTGATTGATTCCATTGTCAATTGCATCAATTGCCTGGCATAGATGAAAGAAAATGTAAGATTACTTACCTATCTAAACACGATTTGAACCAGTATGTACTCATTGACGGTTAGATACCATAGATCATGAGCAAACCTCGTAAAAAATATACATCTTCTGTAAGTAATAAATAATATTTCAAAAAAATATATAAAACAAATCAAAAGGAAGTATAATCTATACGGTGTATATTTTATCACAGAATTATCCTTAAAAGAAAAGGCCTTGTATTGCAAACTTCAATAGTCGTTCATTTACTAAGAATGACTAGCAAGGAAGAATAAAGTAGGAAGACCCTTAAGGTTGCATAAAGCCCATGTCTTATGTTCAGAATTCTGGTGGCAAGTAGGAAGTAGGGCTGGGCAAAATGTCCGAACCGAACCGAACCGAACCGAGTGGGTTTTTTTAAATGAAATACCCGAAAGGGTATCCGAATCGAGAACCGAATGATTTGATTCGGTTCTCGGTTCTAGACCCAGAAACGAAGAATTGAATTTTTTTTTTTTATATTAGATAAATTAATTTCTTTTATTTTTTCTAAATAAATTAATAATTTTTTTCTTATTAAATCTTATTAGTTGAACAATTTAGAGTTTATTTATGTTTGTTTGTTGTGTTTTTTTCAATTTTTTCTTGTATAGTCTCTTAGTAGTTAGTATGGAAAGTCAAGCAACTGATTATTACATTAAATAGTTGGTAAGTATTATCAATACTTTAAAATATTTTATCTTTATTACTTCTAATTTATATTTCATTTTTATGTAGACTTGAATGTTTGAAGTAAATGAATTATTGATATGAATTATCGAAATTTTATTAGTAATATTTACTTTTTCGTATTTGTATTTGACAACTTATTATTTATATGTTATTAAATTAGATTGCGTTAATTTGTAAAAGTTAAGATTGAACTTAGTATTTATATCTACTTTTTGTTATTAATATTAGTATCTACTTTCAGGTGTATTTATGTAGTATTATTTTAAATGTTAAAAAATTTAATTATAGTACGGAACCAAACCGAAACCGAACGGTTCCAAAATTATAGTTGGAACCGACGGTTCCATTTACTAAATACCCGAAAATTTCTAGAACCGAAAAAAACCGAACTGAACCGACCCGCGCCCACCTATAATTGCTTGGTTCAGGTACCCAATTTTCAGGCACTTCGTGGGAAATTTTAATTAAAAAAAGAATTAGAAACTAAGTAACCTCAAGGGAACTCAAATAAATAAATCGAAAAGTACCTCCATGAAGCTCTTGTAAACTGCTAGAAACAGTCGATGCACGTCTGGGTGTTCTTCGTCAACTTGAAGTTCTTTGGCAATTAACTCCTTTCCAAAATGCTAACATAACAAAAACGTAGGAAACATAACCAGAAAAAACAAATCAGAGAAGCTAACTACCCTATCAAATTTAGACTAAACCAAGCCTTAAGTCACATCACGGTCATAGCCGAAACAAAAATAAATGAGAAAAGAAAAAACAATGCCACAATTCATTATGCAAAATTTTGTTAACTCAATTACAAAAGTAACCATGTATTGGTCAATGCTTCACACTAAAAATCACCTTGTAAACAAGACCAGCACTGCTGAGCTTAGTATTGAAACCATGTCCAAAAACTTCCTCAAAACCCTTTTGGTGATGATCGTAACGGTCTTGGGACGGATCATAAACCCCTCCTACATCGAGCACTGCATCAAGCTCTTCCAGCACCTTCACTCAATCATTTCATCAAACACATCACCTACATATATAAATATCTCCAACCACAAAAACACAAATACATACGACAATTAAATTGCATAAAGAATATGAAAAGGAAACAGAAAGTAACCTGGGGGTCACGGCTACGGATGATCTGGGCATTAAAGAATTTATTAGTAAGGCGAATCATGAAGCAGCCAAGGGCTTCGTCGCAGTGGAAGCTGCCATTATGAGTGCCCACTCGCTTAACGGCGACATTGGTAGGCGAAGATGCAGCGGCGGTTGTGGCGGTGGCCATGAGTGATAAAGTGAGGTTGAGCCGCCTCTGGGGTTTGAAGTTAAAGTTGAAGAGCCGCTGGTTGCCAAGTAAAGTTCTTGAAAATATTGTCAACATGCCTTTGGGCTTTCTTACACTATACTCCATTTTATACTTTTTTTTCTTTTTTTTTTTTTCTCTCCCACTCTGTTTTAAATATTAATTTGTTAGAAAAAAAAATCTCCCATTTTACTAATCAACTAAATTGAATTTTAGTTGATAAATAATATTGTATTCTTTTTCTAGCGATCATTTTTTGTTGTAAAAGTCGTTTTATTTTTATTTGCTTTCCATTTTTATTTTTATTTTTTTGTTTCAACTGCATATCAAGCTGTTTGGGGAAATGATATTTTGAACAATATCTTTTTTTTTTTCAAAATCATTTTCAACTACATATTTCTTGAAAATTTCTTACTTTTTAATCACATTATCCAAAAAATTATTTTTCACTTGGAAAAATCTGCAGCACCCAGTATACTTGTAACTCCCATCGTATGAAATGGGTTTAACGTCCACTTATAAAATCCTTGAAAAAAAATATATGTATTGTAGCTGTTGCGGGCTTTAGTTGACGGTTGACATGGATTGAGATGAGCACGAATTTTTTGTTCTGTACCTTTCCTTGGTCTAGCTGGAGGGCATTTGAGAAGTCTTCACTGAGCTTCTACCAAAAAAACTCGATGGCACAATCAAGAAGTTTGTACTTTGGAGGCATGAATGATTGTTAGCTCAATAATAGCACTTCAATTAACTTATAAAAGGCTCCTCTTACCTCTATAGATAGCCCAATAGCGTTTTCAGCAAGAACAGAATAAAAATAAAAGCCAGATTGCAAGAGTCACATTTCACAATCATAAAGTTCTTAGTCTATAACTTTTCTTACTTTATTAATGGCAGTAACAGATCCTTGAGCTCATCACCACTAAATTTTAGATCAAACGAACTGCTCTTTCTTAGGCTACATTTGCAACTCCAGGACTAATCCAGTGAAATATATTCATATCTCATTTGTTGAATAGCGTTGAGTTTGAACCAGCAAATTAATTAATCTAATCCTTGTTCCCCCCATCTGTTTCTCCATCTTGATTCAAGGGTTCAGGATCTTGAGCAGATGATCCCCAGTTCTGTATCTCATTCCTAGATTGTTCATGTGCAGAAGGCAAATTTCGGTTGTCCCTCGCTTTCCCCTTCATATTACAAATCGCAACATCAGAAATACAAAGTTATTGATGCATTATATCTCTTTCATTGGTTACAATTGTAAGTACCTCTTCATAAATTCTTCGATTCTTCTTTTCTTTCATGGACCAAAGAAGATTCACAGCCTCGTTAAATATTTGAAACCCCTGAATATCTCCATTTTTTATACTAGCTTCTAGCTGCCAACGAAAGAAATTCCAGATGAAGACTTTAAGATTACCGGTTACATCATAAGATGCATAAATATGAATTTTACAATTCTCCACCTGGATATGAATGATGCAAAGGAGAATGCTACCAATTGGCAGCCAGCTATCTTCAGGGGACAGCGACAAATTTGACCTTTAAGAGGATAAACAAAAAATTTCCACTTCAGATTTTTCAAATAACCATATTCACAAACCAAATGCATCATAAATGCACAATAACTCAAGTCATCGAGGCAGTAAAATTGCCAATCTCATCAACCAGAAACCACTTGCTGAATATATACATCAAATGATTATTTTCCTAAAGTCCAAGTAATTCTCATATTTTCATGTTTACCTTTGAGAACGAAGGGTATCTCAGAGCTAGTAAACTTTTCATTATACCATAAGTACAATATGATCTAAAGATCTAATACTATTAAACATTTATATGAATCCTTCTAGCATTTCTTCACAAATATAAGACACCACTTCCTATCCAGTTTCATTCAGTGTTTTTTCTGCAACCACCTAGATGAAAAGCACTATCAAGCAAGAAATGAGCTCACATCGCCGAACCAAGGTTTTACAACCAAAATTAGCAAAAATTTTGAAGTTTTATGGCACAGTTAGTTAGACATTTACTATTACTAACTAGTAAATAAATCAGCTATTGAGATTGTGCTTAGTTTGTGGGAAGTCGTTTGGACTGTCAGCCAGCTAACAAGAGCTTTAATCTCCTACCAAGGCTTCCAACCAAAATTAGCAAAAAAAGTGTTATAATCAATTAGGATGTGTACTTTCACTAAATAAATCAGATACCAAGATTGAACTTAGTTAGTGTGAGAATTCTTTTGCACCGGCAGCCAGCTTTTCAGAAAATAGTTAATTAGAAAAGAACAACAAAAATGTTTCTACTTTAGGTCACGAGAAACTTGTTTGAATATCATCAAGAACACCTCGCCATATCGACACATCAAAACGAAATCAATAAAAAATGCACCATAATTCAATACATGTCGAACATCTACCACCAATTTGCAAAGATTGCAATATGAAAAGGAAAGAATCAAATATTTCATTCTCATTGAAGAACTTAAAACCAGAAATTCAATTATGATTGCACGAACATGCTCAACCAATCATCCCCAAATCAAGAAAAGCAAATTATCAAAGTTGGACAATGATTACGTTTATGTTAGCTTAAATCCTTTGAAATAATTAAGGACCACTGATAAACATTAATAACTTGGTCTGTGCTTGTTCAAAGCCTACAAAACCTGCTATTGCCTCCCATTTTTGCTACTTGTTGACCAATCACTAGTTTTGCTAGTCAATTAGTCTTTTTGGTTCATTTTTGATAATTCGTTAAACTAATATAATAGCAAATTAAGATTATAATCATCTGATTGGGATATCAATAATTTCAACTTGAGAAATAACAAGGTCCAGAAATTTTTAACAATAAAAAATGGAGATTTATTCAGAAGAAAGAAAAAATGTGAAAGAGTGAAACCTCAAGTAAGGAGCCAAATATACAATAGCATAAACAGCGTATCGCCGCTTTCCAGTATCCATCCACGCAAACACCCAACTCTATATAAAAATAAGTTGAGATTAGCAATTTGGATATAAATAAGCAAACAAGGCTGGAAAACACAGCTGAAAAAAATATTGTGTAATGACGGCTGGTACTTCAAAAAAAAAAAAAAAATCTATGTTACCATCCAATTGAAATAAGGAATGAGACTGATGATTCCCATGACAGCAAACCTCGCATCGGCAGAGTCAATCAGCGAATCACTTTCACTATCTTCCGGCAAAGGAGTGGCTGGCAAAATCAGCGAGCTCAGAATACACGCGCCCATAGCAATAGCCACCGGTGCATCAGCAGATAAGTCCGCCCTACACTTTCCATTCCTCGCCCTCCGCCTCTAACCAAACCAAAAACAAAAACAAAAAATCCAGAAATTCAGATTCTGATTCTGATTCTGTATGAACTAAGATCTACATACAATATAACATATATAAATCTATTTATATATTTATTCTTACCTGGTTCAGTTTTTTGAGTTGGTTATACCTTGTGTATATGGGTTTAAGGGAGGGTCTAAATGAGGGCGGGCGTGTTAATGAAAGGGAGGCAGCAGAAGGTGAAGTGAGACTGAAAGGAACCATTGATTGGAGTTAGAGAAGGTGAGAGATGGCATCTAACGTGCGCCGGGGGAGGTTTTGGCTAGCTTGCTCGTTTGGGAAACAGTGCCTTGTTAAAGATGCCTTTAGGTGTACGACGAGAAGTTGGTAGGGGGAGGAAATACTTTTTTGTTCGAATGTCAATTATTTTAACATTTTTTCAATTAGGTACTTACACTCTAATTTATTTTAATCGAGTAATTATACTTATATTTTATCTCAATTATGATAACTTAATTTAATTTTGTCATTAATCGACTGTTACTCGATCAAAGAATTGGACATATTTACCTTAATTGAAATACTATAAGTCCACATTAATTTTAACGGCCAACAAAGAACGTTTCTTAAAGCAATTTTACTCAAACAAGTGCTTTGCAATAAGTCAGAGGTTATCATCCATTGTTATGCTACCAAAAATCATACATATTAGCCCCCGTTTGACACCCCTTTTTTTGTCAAATTCTCATTTTTATACAGTACTTTTCCAACCATTTTCCACCAAATGTGGGACCAATGTCTGAAAATGTAATGAATTATCTGACATTTCCTGCACACAAAGAGACGTTGCAATTGAAGTCAAATTTTCATATTCTGTGAATTTCAATTTTGCCCTTGAAGTCATTGTTTGTTTCCTTCAAACATTATATTGATGGAGGGCAAATACGTAAATATTGAAAGTACATCAGAGGGCAAATTTGTCGAAGTAATACAACGTCTCTATCATCTCCTTTCACTCTAACGACTGTGTCAGTCATTTGTCTAAAAAATGCATGAGAATACTGTAGCAAAATGAGAATTTGGCAAAAAAATGGGTATCAAACGGGCGCTTAATTTCCAAACTTGATGATTGAGAATGTGCACGAACGAAATCTTTCGATACTTGAAACAAAGGTGTCGAGTTATTTCCTCGTCGTCCCTCCGATACTTAAGTCGGAGAAAGAACTTATGCGTAAGGTTATAGACTAAAAAATTATGTAAAAGTGTACATGAATAATGAATAGAAGCTTTGTATTTATAGAGGTAGGTGATACATTCCTGATAAGACTTAGTTGTTAAGCATTCTGATTCTTAAAAGTCCTACTTGAGATGAGTATTAGATTGTAATAATTGTAACTCTAGTCATAGTTCGACTATAATAGTTACTGATATAGACACTTTCTAGACATTGAGGTATTTGGAAAGATTTAGAATCCTTCGCAAGTAGGATTCCTCAATGTTTAAGCAAGAAAGTCTTTGAGTTTAGCAAAGGAAAACGCTCGAGGACACAACATACGTTGATCAAAATATCTCGAAGACTAACCCCGAGGACGTTCGTCACCAAATACTGTAAAAACTATAATGCTGGGACTACCTGAAGCTCGAGGACGAGGGTTTTAATCTTAGTGAATATCGATCATCGAGACTTCAAAGCTTGAGTAGACCAATAAAGACCACATCAGTGGCCTCCGTGCATCCACTACTAGAGCTTGAGTGTTAGGGATGGATGCACATAGGCCGGGAATGGTATCTTTGGTCTTGGGACTGCTAGATGACATAACTACAGAATGAAAGTTGAATGGTTAGGGCAAAGTAAGGCGTTTATTGGGGTACTTTGGATGTGCGACACGTGTTAAGATCCAACAGTCCAGATCGCGATCTTTGGTCTCACATTTCCACGCCTCTATAAATACCCCATTTACCAATCATTTTTCACTTTTCACGTGCTGTAAATTTTCCTTTGCAAGATCAAGCTTAAGCACATTCCTTAGTAATACTTTTTGGGCGTAGGATAATTTTTAAGGTAAAAGTCGAGACCTTAAGTTATTTTATTAGTTTCCATTAAGAGAGATGTCGAGTAGTGAGGATGACCGGGGTTTTGGTAGTTCGAATAGTAGCAAAGACTTAGGAATGTCGATTATTCCAATGGCGGTCCCTCTTGATGCCCAACTTAGGTACCAAAGCCACGCGAGTTTAAGTTTCCCGACGATCATTGCAGGTTTAAGGAACACCTAGCTGTGGCAGCTGCTAAAGAGTTTGGTCTAATGCCTAACTGCGACATTAGGTTGCCTGATCCCTAGGATAGAATGGTGCAAGCTCGTAGATGAGAGTTTGTTATTTTTAGGAGCACTCTAAAGGTCGGGTTTAGGTGGCCCTTGCACCCTTTTTTCATAGGTTTGTTAGTCAAGAACTCCATATACCTGAGGCAATTAGTGCCTGAGGCATGGAGGATGCTCATTTATTTCTTTATTACATGTCGATACATGGGCATCATGTCATACCTCAACCTGTGTCGAATGGTATTCATGCTTAAGCAACTACTCCGCTACACATGTTTTGCCTACCTATTGACTCAATGTGGGCTTAGAGTCCCGACCATGCTTAGTTCATTAAAGGGATGGAAAGATAGGTGGCTTTATGCAGTAACTCAAGATCCCGACCTTCCCTTTTAGCCGAGGTGGGAGATCTCAGATGCTGCTAAGTTTTGTGAGGGTCAGGCCTACTTTGAGTCGTTAGAGCGAGATACGAAGATGCTCGAGGAGCTCGATCCCTTGGTGCCGAACATGAAGGCCCTCCTCGAGGACGAAGTATTAGACCTTGCTGATGTGAGAGGCGTCTAGGGTTTTCTTTTTCATTTTTCTTGTTCCCCTTTCCCTGACATTATGATTGATCTACTAAGGTATTTGTTTGTGCATAAATGTCTTTTGATCCTTCAGCCCTTCCCAAGTTCGTGAACTCCGAGGCCAATGCTCTTCAGCCTCAGGCCGCAGCCCTGACGAAAGGGAAGAAAAGGTCTTAGGTCTCAAAAGCTGACTCCATGAGGGGGCGCGCCAAGACCTCTCAGTCTCAACGATCAGTCCCCAGCCCTAAAGCAACCCGACAACCATCTTTTTCCCCTGGGTCTTACCACCTCGTCATACCCCCGAGGTTGTAGACCTCGAGGATGATTGTATTCCTTCTGTGGCTTCAATCGTCGAAGACTTCGAGCGTTGCCACCTAGTCCCCAGCATCGTTGCTAAATATAGAAACGATGTTCAACGAGGGGATGAAAGCCCCCGAGTTTCTTACTTTGAAGGTAAAAAACTAGACTTTATTTTGAATGCATTTAAGTAATTTCCTCGATGTTTATGCTCAATTTTTTTTGTTTTGACACACCTTTAGCATTGTTCGAGGTCTCTCTTTGCAAAGGATGGACGAATCCCACAAAATGGTCGGCTTGTTGAGGCCGTCGAGCTGAGGGACAAAAGAATCGTTGATCTCATGACTGAGAGCGAGGTTCCATTGAAAAAGCGTGAGGATGCCAGAAACGAAGCGAGTCGAACTCGAAACGAAGTGGGGGTAGCTAAAGATGAGGCCGATGACGCTAAGCTAAAGCTCGAGCAAAAATCCAAAGAGTTCGAGGCTAAGCTTGTTGAGGTCAAGGAGCGAGCTTGGGAGGAGTTCAAGACCTCCATATATACATTAAGGTGATTGATGGGGTTAGTGGTCCCATTGTACTCCTTTATGTGGGGGAATTTGAACATATCTGGAAGCGGATAGGAAAGTACCTCCGGTGTGAAGGGAATGTTAGGGGTAAATCTTGTTGCCCCATGGGTATCCAGTAGTAGTCCAGCTGTAATCTCATCTTGTATGATAAGACGAGTTCACTTGAGTCCATGGTAATCAATCTCGACGTCAAGACCACTAGAGGTACACTCAAGGCCCCAGATCGACCATTGTCGTGAGCGTCGCGAGTATCTCGAACTTGAGCATCGGCCATGAAACATCCTTGTTATGCCAATGGCACTGGTGCCGAATGAAATTTTCTTTGATTTAGCAATTCAGTCAATGTTGCCACTTGTTGACGGAGTTCTTTGAATGTTCCCACAATAATTACTGTTGGGGAGCTGGTATTTCTGATTATTCTTCTTGATAAATTGGGAGATCCGCAATAGGTGGGTTAGGAACGGATGAGCTTGCTGAATGAAGACCGGACGTGTATCAACCATGACTTTTGGTAGCGGTTCCATAGACGGAGCCAATGATGCTATCAAAAATTGTACCTGTTGATTTTCGAGCTTGACGACTGAGAATGAGTACTAACGAGATCTTTCGGTACCTAAAACAAAGACATCGAGGTGTTTCCTCGTTACCCATCTGATGCTTGAGTCAGTGAGAGAATTCATGCTTGAGGTTATAGACTAAAAAATTATGTAAAAGCATATCTAAATAACGAATAAAAGCTTAGTGTTTATAAAGGTAGGTAGTACATTCTTGGTAGGACTTGGATGCTAATCATTCTGATTCTTAGAAGTTCTACTTGAGATGAATATTGGATTGTAATAATTGTAAGTCTAGTCATAGTTCAACTATAATAGTTACCAATATAGACTTCTAGACATAGGAGTCTTGAGTTGGGGTATTTGAATAGATTTAGAATCATTGGCAAGTAGGATCCTTCAGAGTTTAGGCAGGAATAAGTACGAACGAGATCTTCTGGTACCTGAAATAAAGGCATCGAGGTGTTTCCTCGTTACCCATATGATGCTTGAGTCAGTGAGAGAATTCATGCGTGAGGTTATAGACTAAAAAATTATGTAAAAGCGTATATGAATAACGAATAAAAGCTTAGTATTTATAAAGGTAGGTAGTACATTCATGGTAGGACTTGGTTGCTAAACATTCTGATTCTTAGAAGTTCTACTTGAGATGAACATTGGATTGTAATATTTGTAAGTCTAGTCATAGTTCGACTATAATAGTTACCAATATAGACTCCTAGACATAGGAGTCTTGAGTTGGGGTATTTGAATAGATTTAGAATCATTGGCAAGTAGGATCCTTCAGTGTTTAGGCAGGAAAGTCTTTGAATTTGGCAAAGGAAAACGCTCAAGAATACAACATATGTTGATCAAAATATCTCGAGGACTCACCCTAAGGACGTTCGTCACCAAATATTGTAAAAACTATAATGCTGATCCTCGGGCCTACATCAAGCTCAAGGACGAGGGTTTTCATCTTAGTTAATATCGGTCAGGACTTCAAAGCTTGAGTAGAACGATAAAGACCACTCACATTGTATTAAAGTCTAACCTTGAGATTTCAACGCAAAATGTTATTGGCTCCATTAATGTTTGTGGCCTATCCCAGCGTGTACATAGGTAAGGACGGGACGTGATAAGAAGACAAAAATACCCGATAGGACAGGAATGTGAATAATTACCCCGATCTCGACCCATCCCATTGCCATCCATAGGAATCTGAATTAGCAATTAGAATCTCAAATTTGACCAACACTTGGATGTACATGAAAAATCCGAAAATAAGGAACAAGATGGTTCGAATAATAAAAAAAAAATGGAAGGAATAAATTATTTATTAACAAAGTTAACATTTTCATGTTGCATATATACTCTACAAAATACAAATTTAATGTCTTTCTCATGGTGACTGGTTCAACCAAATAGTTCAAATCGGACTGAGGTGTCCACATGATTCTGCACAAGGGGTGGCTGAGTTTCTTCGTACTGATTAAATAAATTAACCAAATTGTATCTTCTAAGGCTGATCATTCTCCTTATTTGCTGCAGGGAAAGGTTGGAATCTTCTACTGAGTTTATTGAACAATTGGATAAAAACCATGATTCTGCAAATGAAGAGGGCACTTACTTTCAGAAGGAAAAAAGCAAGAGTCTTAGGGAGGAACAAACTTCAGCTTAAAGCAATATCCATAGACTGAAACCTTACCCAAATTTACAGGGTGCTGTTGCTTTACACTTGGACAAATCTAATCAAGAATCTCCTTCTCTTTGTTCTCCATCCTCGCCTTGACCAGATACAGCATTTAGCTGCTGTTGTAACTGCCAGGAGTACATAAATTATGATTAAAAATAGAAGGACCGAATAGGTGTGTTCATTCTCCAAAATTGACTTTCATCTTTAAAAATTAATTGCAACATGAAGATAATCATAAAGATCCCCGTGCACAAACAAGAAGGCGTGCTAATTAATAGAGATGAAAAACAACAGAAAACTCACTTGCATATATCTTAGTCTTTCTGCTTTTAATTCATCAGTCAAACTATTCATCCTGCAAGTGCCGGTTATGGGGGTGGGAGAGTATGAGATTGAATTAAATTTCTTACGCAAAAGATGATAGATAAAAAAAATGTGTATAGTTTATCAAGTCCAATTCTAAATTAGCCACCTTGATTGAAGCTCTGTGATCTTCATAAGCAGCATACACTCCCTTTCAGAAAGTGCTGATTCAACCTGTACATGGGTCAATGCTTTTAGTGAACTGATGAAATCTTATAGATCAAACAAACATTAGCTTTTGCAGTCAATGACTAATAATGATTCATTTCTACCAATCTCAAATCTAGATGTTGGGGATAAATAAGCAAAGATAATCTAAATACTCCCTAAAATCTCATCCTGAAATTAAGTCCAAGTAAAATGTAGAGGCTCGAGCCAGGCTCACGATTCATCAAGTCTGGCATCTCTAAATTGACTATTAAAATAAGCACCTCAAGCTAGAGATTGAGAATTTTAACATTAGTTTGGCAAGTCCATGAACCGACAGAATGATCTGTGGACTCTCTCTCACATAAAGATGAAATCATGTGCCTAACAGAGAAGCTACCATGATGACGTGTATGATTATCCAATGGTATTAATCAGTGAATCTGCAACATAAAAGAAGATCTGATACATATTTGAGTGGACTCACTATAAGGACTTGAGTACCCATGTTGGACAACTCCATACTCAAGACCTGGATCATGGAAGTTACATATGGATCCTTCATTTTAAGCATAAAATGGCTTTATTTCCCAAATTCAACTCTTGAATGACATAAATCTGTCAAGACTCATTCCTCTAGTCCATGTAACACAGTGCACATTGCATATGTTCAACATAAACTAATACGAGAACTTGTGTAGAAGATGGCACTTTAAGGAATAGTTGCAATTCCTTGTGCACATTTTAGTGTTCCCAAGGAAAGACTTCAATGGGTCAAACACAAATTTAAAAGAGAGAGGATCCAAAACTTAAGTTGGATCATAAAATATAAATCTCCCTTCTTCCTCCCTGAATGCTCTATCCAAAGAGATGATCATCTATTCACCTAGTCAACGAAATTTCCATTAACGTGAATGCAGGGTAGGGGCTTACGCTTCCATTATTTTCTGCTCCACGAGGTAACGGAGGCAGTGTCCCATTTTGAGGAGCTGAAAGAAGAATAGAAACATCAATCTAAACAATACAAAACCTTTGTCCTTGATATATACTACAATAAGATTGTCAACTCACCATCTGCAACCTCAACTAGTTGCAAGCTATTCAATAAATTCATTATAAGATCCTGCCATTAAGATAGCAATAAATTAGAGGAAAATAAATATAGAGAGCTTCCGATTGAAAAAGGCCTGTTTCCCTATTTTATAATAATAGAAGCCACACTAAAAATACAAAAAAAATACAAAAATACAAAAATAGGGTCTTACTTGTTGAATTGATGTTTGCTGAGAAAGATTCTGAAGATGAGGCATGAGAACTGAGGCAGGTACATTGCTGTTGCTGATATCCCTAGGGGACTGATTATTAGGCTGAAAGCCAATGATGAATACATCACTACGATTGACAGAAACTAAGTAATCAAGTTTATTTGGAAGAGTAAAGGGGACAGAAAAATGAGGGGGTTTCAATTTAACAATAAGAATAGTCAGTGTACAAACCATCGGCTTAGAATCAAAAAGCCAATCTCCAACACTAGCGGACTTCCTTAGCTGTGACTCCTGAGAACAACATCAACAGATTATGAAGAGGGAACTAAACAAACTAATCATTTTCACAAAAATCAAGGAATCAGTTTGCCTCCTACCTGAGAATTTCGTCGAGAACTTGTACTTAATGGAATATCCTAGTATATTTGTACAAGTTAGCAACAGTCATCAAAATTAATTAAGTACCGTAAGAAAGAAGCTGTACCTTTACAAGATCTACATTTTCAGACGTTACTGAGAATCGCCCTTTTATTTGTACCAGATTGGTCTTTGACTTGTCGTCCATCGAATCTTTGAAGCCTAGAATGGTAAAATAAAACCAATGATGAAATAAACTAAAATTTCTCCATGAAGAGCAGTAGATAAACTCAAAATCAAAATGACTAACCTCCTGAAGATTTGATTGGGGCTGATAAACTGTTTGCTGAAGCTCGGTTTGGAAGCATTAGAGGACCACTAAAGCTGGGTGCTTTTCGTACCTGTTGAGCCCTCTCAACCACTTGATGGTTTTCAATCTCACATCTGACAAACAATTTTTTCCAAAGATGTTAACAACGTAAAGGTATTCTCCAGCTAATTAAGTGCCAAAAACATGTTGTGTAACCAAAAAACAGACAATATCCTACAATGACAAGCAGATTTTGTAACTCACAAGAACAACATTTAATATCAAACTGCTCTCACATTATATCATATAGAAGTACAAGTGTGGGTCGACAAATTACAGAATTAATTCTCAATTTTTATTTTTTTTCATAAAAAGCTCTTTTCAATGCCAAAATTAAGGTGGGAGAAAACAACAATATACTAAGCCTCATTCTCAATAAATTACACGATTCCTTTCTCACTATTTCATATATGTCACCAAAACTAATATGCGACGAGATTAAACAAATTTCATACAAAAGCACCCACGATAATGACCACAAACTTTGTCCAAATCTACATACAAGTCAACAGAGGTTAAAGATGAAACAATGAGCCCTGCCACCACCATAAAATCCATATCTTTGGCCCCAATAACAGTTTATTTTTCTTCTTCATATTAGACAATCAACTCATTCATGTATATAGCATGCTAAATGCTGTCAGAATAAGGGTGTTGCCTAACTAGAATGCCTTCACTTAACTTTGTAGTGCATGAAACCATGACCATACACCACCACAATTATGACCATTTAGTCACAACAAAGAACTAGGACTGGGCACATCAGACAATCAAGTAAAAATTTCTTGTCAAATGCATTAATGCTAATAAAATCATGTTACATGCTGCTCAGAAGCATAAGATAGAATAGCAGATGAAATATTTACTGAATTACAATAAACCTTTCTAAGTAGCGTGTTCTTTCTAACTTCGAATGACTAAGCACAACACCAGGCATTAGTGGTCCACTCTGAGTTTGACGAGGCTTCCCCATCTGAATTCTAGTCTTAGCTAGCGCACTATCCTTCTCCAACAAAGGAAGATCGGCTTTCGACACACTTATGTTTATACCAGTTTTCCCCTGATTATCAGATTCTGGTAAATCATTTTCAAAGACTTTTTCCTTCTTGCTCGGACTTTCAACCACAGGAACCTCGTCACCATTTATCTTCTCTCTGTAAAACAAAGAAGAAAATTTCATGCAGAATAGAGGATAGCATACACACACGATAACTGCAATACTGCATGTTAATCACAAGCATATCAAAAGCTAGAAATCCATATCAAGGGGAAGAAAGGATTAATATCTTGCTGATTACAAATACAACCAAGATCAAACTCAGTTGGAATCTTTAAATGACATAAAAAACTAAATTGACAAGTCAATGTATGATTCGAAGGTACAATAACTGTTACCAATATTGAAAAAAGAAAAAGTCAAGGATGATGACGAATAGAGGCCTTTAATCACCTGTAAGTATTATTGCTTGACGTCCCTGGCTTTTCTACTTCAGGTCCAGAACTAGATACCACCTGCTAGAACAAAGAGCCATTTTTCAGCCACTGGTCTCCCCCAGGAAAACCTCCATTCTGTCAAACAGAAGTAAATAAATAATTATATTAAGGTAACTAATGACCTTATGGTTCATGTACAAATTCGAGCCATCTTCTTCCTTGATCTCTTGTATATCATCCTCTTCTTGCAGCTGCCAAAACAAGAAGAAATCAGCTCATGTGCACCATGTAGCGAGCCGTAAGAGTGTTTATTATGAAATTCTGTGACATCAAGGAAGATATTTCCATGTACATACGAGTGATGCTCGAAGCTTCAAATCCTCAACATCAAAGTTCCATGCACTTACACCTCGCTGGTACTCGCTCTGAAACAGACAAACAAAAGAGAGAGATGAGAGAGTGGGAGTGGCTGATCAAGAAAGGTACCAAAAAGTGTCCAGCAGGTTCTGCACTTTCCTCGTACCCAGTAATTACTTTATTTAATCCACTGAGTTCCTCAGTTCCTATAGAATAAGATTACTCTTTACTTAATCCGCTGAATTCCTAATTTCCTACAATATAAATAAATAATAAATTAATGGCAAAAATGGCTTCTTTTTTTTCAAAAACCAATAAAATAAGGAGACCAGAGCTAGCAATCTGCTCCAGTATCACTAAAGTAGAACCTAACTGCTTTATAGGAATTAGAATTACAAGGCCTATCGGGTGACAATATGCAGGCATTCCCTATAGATAAGCACCAGGAATATAAAGGGGTACAAGAGCCCCAAAGGTAGGGCACGTCAGTGAGAATATGTCAGCAAGAATAGGAAATTAGGCAATCAATGTATATACGTATACAGAATCTTTTATTAGGGAATAATTAGTTGTATAGTTTCCTTACTTAACAAATTCCTTTGTTTAGCTCCTAATTGTGGGTAGTAATCAAGATTGTATCTTACTATTTAATGAGAAGAGACTCCAATGAGGGCATCGAACCAAATCAATAGCTGACATGGTATTAGAGCCCTCAACCTAAAGAGAGCTCTTCCATTTTTTTGATATTTTGGGAGATTGAGGGACTGATTTCTAGTTGGGCAATTCTATCATTGTCGGGCTTCCACAGCGAGGCTCATTATTGGTTTAGGGGACTAACCTGATAGGGTGTTGTTGGATTTCTCTTCCTACCTGTGAACCGATGCCTAATCAAACTTTATATAAACCTTGTCAATCTACTTGGGATATAGTCCCTTGTCCTACTAGAATTAAGCTTATTGGATGTAAATGGATTTACACTGTTAAGTTGTGTGTTGATGGCTCTATCGAACGATATAAAGCTCGTGTAGTGGCACTCAAAAATCATCGGAATATGGTCTTAACTATGAGGAAACATTTGCTCCAGTAGCCAAGATGACTACTGTTCGCACAGTTATGGCCATTGCTATCTCAAAAGGATGTTCGCTTCATTAGATGGTTGCGAAGAATGCATTTTTACCCAGTAAGAAATATTTTGCAACTCTTCGTGGCATATTTCATCTACTTTTAACGAAGTTCATCACTTAAAGCAGTTTGGAATAGGCACCACGGTCCACGGGCATGGTTTAAGAAGCTTCGTACTACTCTTCTAGATTTCACTTTTACTTAAGAGTCGCATGACTCCTTACTCTTCTCACACAACTAATGGAATGTTTATACTTCTTGTGTATGTCGATGATATTGAGATTATAGGATATAACCTTCAGTTGATTGAGCAGCTCCAATAGCACCTCCGATCTTCATTTGATATGAAAAATCTATCCACTGTAGCATTTTCTTGTCATTGAGGTTCAACGTTGTTGAACTGGCACACTCCTTCATCTACATAAGTATACCCAAGAGCTCACTTCCTTAGCCGATCTTCAAGACGACAATTCGGTTCTTACACCTATAGAGGTCAATTTAAAGTTACACCAAGAGGGTGGCGATCCATTATCTGATCCTTCAATGTATCAACAGCTAGCAGGGAGCTTGAACTATTTGATTATTATCGACATGATATCTCTTTTGTAGTCCAATATGCTTCTTGCCAATCACATTTGGTAGTTGTACGTCAACCTCTTCGTTATCTCAAAGGTACATCTGGCTGCGGTTTGTTCTATCTTTCTAGGAATTCTTTACAGCTTGAAGGTTTTAGTAACAAGGATTGGGTTGCTTGTATAAATACGCGTCATTCTATTACAGGTTGGTGCAGGAAAATGCTCTCATTTCCTGGAAGAGTAAGAAGTAGGATCACATCTCGAAGTCTTTCACCAAGTCTAAATATCGCGCTATGTCCTCTGTTTGTTATGAAATTATATAGCTTCGAGGGTTGTTGGGAGAACTTGGTGTTCCACGACTTTCCCTTACTTTTCTTCATGTTGATAATACAAGTGCTATTTAGATTGCTACCAATCCAACTTTCATGAGCGTATCGAGCATATTGAGGTAGATTGTCATTCCATTTGTGAAGCGGTTGTTTGTCATGAGATTACTCTTCCTCACATCTTCACCTAACACTAAATTGCTGATGTCTTTACTAAANGGAGTGTTGAAATCACGAGATAATTAACCATGTTTAGAATAATTGTTAATTTCCTTAATCAGTATATTTAGTATATTCTTTGATTATTGTAATCTTTAGATATGGTAGGAATATTTTTCTTTTCCTTTTATGCTTTTACCTCTTGCACTATAAATAAGGTTGTGTACGTCTCATTATGAATAAGATGAATATATAGTTTTTCTCTTCACCCACCTTTAATAAGTAGATAAAAATGTATTTGGAAATTGGCTATCTTTCAGGAAATGGGCTTATGCTAAGGCGTTGTTTGGTGCCCACTGCTTGAGGCAGATGTTTCAGATTAAGAGCTAGTCACTCGTAGAGAAAACCCAAAAAAAAGAAGCATGGTCTTCTCTTTTTTATTTCTGCTTCTTTTTTTTGGGTTTTCTCTACGAGTGACTAGCTCTTAATCTGAAACATCTGCCTCAAGCAGTGGGCACCAAAAAAAAAGAAGCAGAAATAAAAAAGAGAAGACCTCAATTAAAGTAAATTGTAGAATAACTCTAGAGATGCTTCAAACCTGTGATATTGCTTCTTGTTCTGCTGAAGGCATTTTTTTCAGAGCAAGTTGTGCAGCATCTTTGAGCTGCATTGTTTTCACAAGAACATTACAAAAAATAAAAAACAGGTAACCTGAGAACCCTGCTAGTAGCACAACTACCTGAAGGTCTTTCACACGCTTCCACAGTGGTGGCAAGTCAACAAATAGTTTCTTTAAGGAAAGCTCTGGAGGCTTGGTGTTCTTGAAAAAAGAATGTTTTAACAGTTTTTCTGCAGTTGGCCTCTTAGTTTGATCTTTCACCAAACACATTGCAACCAGTTCTTTGAAAGACTGTTTAAAACTGAAGACCGTTTAACAATCAACTTACAAAAATCTATAACCCTATCTATTATTCAACATAATGTCTGAAGACAAAAATAACACGATTACCTTAGAAAACCTTTTATCTCGGTCATAATCAAGCCCGGGAGGGGCATTCTGTATGGTCATAAGCAGAACCTATTGCAAATATGGAGGTTAAATAATTAAAAGAGTTCAGTACAGTTATCTCCATGAACACATAGTCAAGCTATTAAGCACAGTCATACCTTCATTGGAGGGTATTTTGAAAATGGTGCATGTCCATGAGCCAACTCTAGTGCAGTTATTCCAAACGACCAAATGTCAGCCCTGTGAATATGAAAATTAATTATGCACCAATCCCACCAATCCAAAGAATCTTTATTTTTTCTGGCACTCATGATGTAGCATCGTTGCCAACTCTAATAGATCTGTTAAGGAATAAAATCTCATATCGAATAAAGATGAAAATATAGACTAATTTATAAGGGTTTGAGGCGTTCATCATAATAAGGTTGAGCTTTTAAAATGGAATCTCAAATCTTAACATAATATTCGAGTACATTAAGCTCAAACGAGCAATTCGATCCAATTAATACTCAAAAAATGAGCACACAAATTTCAATACTGGTCTGCTCAAACGAACCACCATCTTACGGAGGCATGTTAAGAGAGAATCTCATATCGACTAAAGATGTAAATATAGACCAATTTATAAGGATTTGAGCTACAATTCTTAATAAGGTTGACATTTTAAGATGGAACTCCAAATTTTAACAAGATCTTTGGTTGACAAAATAAACACTAAGCCCCCTGTTCGGACTCCATTTCGAAAAAAATGCATTTTCTCTTTTTTTATTTTCAACCACACATTTTCCAAAATATCGTCATTCTAATACACATTTTCCCCCAAAATCTATTTTTGATGGAGCTCAAACAGAAAATTACGTCTCTACTCTGAACAGCATCTTACTGAAAAAACAGATTTAAATTTAGAGGTAGAAGAATTTTTTCTACAAAATCTTGTCAGGCACAATTGTAGTAGGTAATCTCATATTTTGTGTTAAATCTATTATGTGATATTATTGGCTTTTTCTGAAGTTTAGGCCACCGTAAAACTTAGTCCTAGGTCCGCCCATGATAGTTGGTCAAAGTGTCAATTATGTAATATTATTGGCTTTTTCTGAAGTTTAGGCCACCCTAAAACTTAGTCCTAGGACCGCCCATGATAGTAGGTCAAAGTGTCAACTCGTATAACCATGCAAAATGAATCTCAAACACTTCTCATCTCCTCTATTGTGCTTAAGACAAGAAGGAATTACTGGACAAATCATCATAAACAACTAACTAAATTCTAAGATAATAACAATAAATTAATTTTAAGTTGTGATTTAGTCTCTTGAGAGATCATGTGCACATCCAAAACATAGAATAAAAAAATAAAAACAAATAAATAAATAAATAAATAAATATATATATCAATTTTTGTATATGCATGCATGAAGACATTTGTGATATTCGTTGAGGCTTTAAATATTTGTATAAAAACCACAAAATAAGGAACAAAACCCACTTGAAATTATATCCAGTTCCTGGCTGTAAAACTTCCGGTGCCATCCTGGACATCAAGACAAAAGTTTTAGATAACAGAAGACTTGAACTATCAATAAAACGGATACGTATTCAAAAAACAAAATAGAAAGAAAAAGTAAATGTCAAGCCATACCAACATGGAGTTCCTACAAAGGTACTCCTCGAACGCTGCCTATCACCTCTGTCAAACATGCTTGCTGAAACACCAAAGTCAGCAAGTTTTACCTCCCCATTACTATCCATTAATATATTTCCTGCCTGCAAAAGGAAATATTACTAAAACTGCAAAGTAGTTTAGTAGCCAAGCTGATACGAATGAACTTGTCAAATCTGGAAATGTCCTTTTGCTTGTGTTATAGGATAAATATTTCAGAATCAATTAACCTTCACATCACGATGAATATGGCCATGCCGATGAAGATATTCCAAAGCCTTAAGAGTTTCTTTCAAGATAGGCCCGATGGCTGACTCTTCAAATCCATCAGGATATGCTATCTTCATGAGATGTAGGCAAGAACCCTCGGCCATAAAAGGCATCACCACCCAAAGGTTGCAGTCGACAACAAATGAACAAAACGCTCTGATCACATTAGGATGATCAATTAAGCTCATTATTTGAGCTTCCCTCCGAATATCATCCTATTAAAAAGAGGCCAAAATTATTCAATATCTCATTTTGATGCAAAGATTTTGACCAGGAACAGTCTCCATTGTTTAAGTCCAGCCCGGGATATTTATAATGCAACAGAAATATTAATGTTGAATTAATAGCATGACCAGTTAGCAATGTGATAAATCCACAAGTTAAAGAAATGCAGGAACTGAGTTATAAGGAAACAAAAATAAAGCAACTGACCAAAGCAGATAATAGCACAATATAAATGCATGAAACATACATAAATATAGTCAGAAACACAGATTGTATTACTCAGATCAAAAAACTGAATAAAATATTGCTACAGAACCTAACTGGGAAATTGCTTGCTCATTGAACATAATGGCTTTATCTCAAATGAGTAGAGAAATACAGAAAGAATGATGATAATGTTCCAAGTGGTTTCATATAACATTCTCCCATACAAACATGGATCTTCATCTCCAGGAGACACGGCATCCAGAGCAAAACAACTTATGCAACTCATGTGTTTACCCAAGTGGCATGCTTTTGATTCATTATAATCTTCCAGGGGCAATGAGATAAAGGAAGCCCTAAATGCAGGTGGGATAGATCATTGGTATGACTTGTGAGTCAGTTGACAATAAACCATTGCGCACCGTTCCTCGTTAACTATAAGTTTCCACCGTGTGAAAAGCCTAAGTAGATGAACCAAAAACTACATGCTACATATAATAATATAATTATCATAGCACTTATCTCCTTTAAAGTATAAAAGCTATTTGAAAAGGTTCAATGATGTGAAACAGCAATAATATTTCAGCAGCAGCTAAATCTACAATTGTATGCTGCTTCCCCAATGACAAAGGATACATGGACAAGAGAAGTGGCATATAACCATTTCAATGGAGGATGTTGCCAGTCATAGGATTTATTAGGGGGTTTTATTTCGTGCCATTTTAGAGAGAGAGAGAGAGAGATGGGAAGGAATTTGTACATATCACAAAATTATTAGCCAAATGGTCCATTTTCAACTGTGGACCACTATGCCTCGTGGTCTTGTCCCAAATTATACCTCAAGAGGTTAGGATATTCATGTCACTGCAAGTCTGCAAGTCCCAAGGTCCTCCCCTATGCTCAGGATTTAGGATTGCGGTAGAACCAGGTTAAGGTCTTGAGAAGTTCACATTTGTAGATATGGTTCTAGTTTGTTAATAGGTAATAGTTTTTATAACAAATCGCTCCTATTTTTGGCATCTGAGATAGAATTTGGTGAAAACAATCATGGTACAATATATGGATTTCACATAATGTTGACTTTTTGTTTAGCGTTAGCGTTGATGCAAAATTTGGAATATTCATTTCTGAATTCAATTAAAATTCCTCTCTACCTAGATTATAGTTCAGCAATTGCCTAGTTAGAATAAATGGCTCATGGATATACTCAATAAACTTTTGTTGTCACTTCAGAAAAGATCCAAAGCAAATTCTAGCTTTCTCCCATATTGAAATCAGTCCACCCAAAAAGTTGACTCTCACTTATCTCGTAAAAAATTTTGTAAGTTATTTTCATGATTCCAAACTTGGTTTGATTCAGTTGTTAAACACCTAGGGTTCTTGGTTTATAGATAAATTGGTTCCAAGATACATGTTGGCGTGAAATTTAATTATATTCCTCGTTATGATTTAGAAAGCGGGCCTACCATATTTGACTTTTCACAACAACTTTGATTTCATTCCAGATTTTCTTGATTTAAAGTATATCCCATTTAAAGTTGGACTAGCTACAAAATATGCACAAAAAATTGCCAAACTTGGTATCGCAAAGCAAATTTCCAATTTAGCTCTTCCCTGACACGTCTTTGTAAATATGGCAACACTACTTGTTTCGTATGCAGGACAAAATTCAATTATATAGCCCTCCCAATCAAACTAAATCACCATAATTAAAGAACCAATATATCTACTCCGATTCTGAATAAGCCATTTTCAGCATAAAGAAGAAAACATCTTTTGGACAAAAGTAGCTGTGAAATAACTATTATCTTTGAGATTCACAAGAAAGAGATTCATCAAATCAGTTACCCCATTGTATTGGTCACCGCCAATAGTTCATTATCCATAAGCAGTGATCAACAAGGTTTGGTACTCAAAAAAAGGAAGCCAGATAATAAACAATGGTTTTCCAAATGGCCTTCCATTAGAACTTTAGACATTTCAGCACTATTCTAACTACAATCTATGGTCTTACTGAACACAAACTAAAGCATTCAAACAACTATCAGCTGCAGTTGTGTTGCATTTTCAAATCGACAACCACCAGCAAACAAAAATCAAGCAATTTAACATGTTCAAAACTTCAAGTTTCAAACTTCACCCTAATACACCATCAAAGTCACTTAACCAAAATACAAGGATACTTCCTCATATAGAGCTATCTCAAATCACATATCTAAACTCAACGTTCGTACACAGAAAAAGTCAAATAAATCAAAACAGTCACAACCTAGATCACAAATCCCAATCACACATCACCCCACCGCAAATCTCCAATAAACAGAATTAAACACAAACATCCATCCACACAGACTCAAATTTATCAGCATAAGATAAAAATTAATAATAATAAAATAAAAAGATCGAGGGAATGGAAAACGCGACAAACCAGATTGCTACCGCATCGATCGAGATCCAAACACTTGACGGCCACCACTTCATTGGAAGGCAAGTGGATTGCTCTGTAAACGGTTGCGCTGGCGCCATATCCAACCTCTTCTAGGAGCTTGTAATCTTTTGGATTAGAAGAATAAATCTTCTGACCGTCCCCCATTTCTTCACAAAACTTCAGATAATACCATCAATTCTTCAATTGATTGATAAAAATCAAACGAACTGTTCAGAAAATTATTTGCAGCTGTGGATATTTTTTAATTATTATTTAATTTTAATGTGTATATATGGGATGTCACAACAAGTCTACAGGTATGGACTGTGTTCAAGTCTGGGGAAGCTCTCTCTCTCTCTCTCTCTCTCTCTAAAAGAGTGCTCCGAATTTACCGATATTTTTCATACTTAGGTTTGTTTTGTTTTAGCGTTTATATCTATGGTATTTTACAGCAATGGTCACGAGTTTTAAAAATTATAAACAGACTAGCCCTCAATATTTTATCTAGACACCACCTAGAGTTTAAGCCCATCTTTGGTGGCCATTTTTTTGGAAAAATATTGTTTGGAATAGTGAATTTTTGGAGAATGTGTGATTAAAAAGTATAAATATTTTTCAATTTATATGTAAATTATTTTATTGTGTGAATGTTTGGTTGAAAATGAGTATGTAAAAAAAATGATTTTAAAATAATAAACGACAAACATGGGCTAAATCTTCACATGACTTTCGTAACATGTCTCATTTTAAATCTTTGAACATCAACCTATATTGAGAAATGAAATCTAGCTTAAAAAATTTAGTCCATGTTTGGTTTGGATTAAAATCAAATTTTTAGTAGATTTTAATAAAAGTCGATGAAATGTGTGAATTTCATAAGATATGTGTGGTCAGAATTAGTTATTGACTTTAATTTAGATTAAAATTTGAATTTTAATCACTACCAAACGGGGACTTAGAAGCAATGCTTTGAAAATCAGCTCAAGCATCCACCCGAATGTTAATGACTATGGATCGATTTTTTATTCTATCGAATGCTTAGTCAGTTTGGTTTTTAAAACATAATTGATGAATGAGGGTGCTAGCGGTGGACGATAATATTGCACCTTTCAAGTTGGGGACTTATTTTCTATTCAGCCAACAGTTTGAGGACAAATAATGAAATTTTCCCTATTTAATGCAAATAAACCAAATGTAAGAGGATTATCCATGCGTTGACCGGCTTAAAAATGGCACAGCAGGCTAGGCGCTCCAGTGCTTAACTGGGGAAAGATTATCTACGACAACTATGTCCCGAGCATTTTGCAACCGTGCTTATTGGTGTTGTACGCTTGGAAATGTACAACTCTGTTAGGTCATTCCAAGCTATATTATTTCCTATTGGGCTAAATTCACATTAATATTAGTAGGGAAACCGACACCAATAACACTGAATAGGGAAGTTTAACAATTCAAATGGTAATTTTCTACAATTTCAATGTAGCATCAACTTTTTCATGGATCAAATTGTTAAGGGACGAGTCACGTCATTCTCGAATGAAAACGAAATGCAATATGAATGAAAAGTGGTGGGTTACGTGCACTCTTGACTTGAATAAATTTAACCGAAAAATATAATTCTACATTTAGAAAATAAAATAATAAACAAGGTTTTTTTTGTCAAAATATATTTATCAAATGTTGATGCTCTTACGGGTTATGAACTAAAGAAAAGAGAGAAAAAAAATAAAGAAATCAATAGATTTGTGCATTTTTTTATTGAAAATCAAAATTTCATATTTATAAGTTACAATTGGGACTGCATGGTACAATGATCATTCAGAAATAATATTTTATTTACAATAGAGCCCTTAAATGACTATTTACAAAATAATTGTCTCATTAAAAATCATGTTTCCTAAAAACTCGATAGGACAAAAGTATCAAAAGGATAAAAAAGAGAGCAAATAATTTAGAGTAATAAAATGTCGTCTCGTTAAAACCTTATAAAAAATCGATGAAACAAAATTTGAGAGAGAGAATAATACAGTTACTCCTCCTGATTTCTATTAATGAAAAGCCTTGTATTGAACCCTCCTCGTCTTGTAAGTCAAAGTCTACAATATCACAATTCTGGTAAAGTATGTTCCATGTTGTATTGTTGCAGCTCTAGACAATATCTTCTTCATACAAAATATTTATTAATCTTAGTTTGACTGAAGTCATCGTTATGTTCCATTGAAAAATATATTTTATTTTTACTCTTTTCGAGAGTCTCGTATACAATTTATTACAAGAGTGAAATAAAAAAAATTAGGTAAATGTCATATATGTTATCGATTTTCATTACATAAAAAATATTCATCATTAAAACCCTACAAGGAAAAATCATGTGAGAAAAATTTAAACAAAAGAAAAAGAGTACATTATTTATTTGAATACGCTATAAAAGCGCCTCATTAAAATCTTACCAGAAAAATTCAATGTTACAAAATCTTAATCAAGGGATACAAAAAAATAAAATACATATTTACTCTCCTCACAATAATATTACTTGAATTTTATATGCTTCGGACATATTAAATTCTTCAAGAATAATATTAATAGTCGCATCATATGAGTTTATTATAACCAAAATTACTATATGCATATAAATTTTATGTATTGCCAAGATATCAAGGACATAGGCTAGCGATTGCTTCCACTAACTGATAATTTATCTATTTATAAAATTCATTGTGAAATTCATTATGTTAAAAGTAGTATAATACATATTACGATTTGATTTATTTTTTTTTTTCAATTCATTTTCGCATAAGTATACACTTTTGAGTGTTCAGAATCGAGGTGTAGCAGAAAATTCAGTTTTCTCTAATAATTTTGATATGAATCCGTCATTTATATGGCCAATCATATTTTCAATCGGTATGTTTCGACAAATTTATTTCAATATCTTCACTATTTATAATATAAAGCGGTACATCGTGTACAAATTATTGTCAATAACTTTTTTCTTTCAATTCTATTTCTTTCTCATAACAACATAATTTATTAAGATATATCTACTTTCAACAAGTAATTGAACCTCTTACCTCTTATGGAGTTATATAATTAGTTGTGTATATATATTTTGCCTCATAAGTGGGATCGTCTTTTTATTTGCTCCTTTTTTTTTTTATGAAAAATTGTATCTTTAGAATTGAATGTCAAAATGCTTCAGGCATATTATTTTTATAATGCAATAGTTTTATCATTCTAAGACATTAATATGAGATGGAGCATCTATAGTAGGTAATTAAGATTTTATTAATCTTTTATAGGTTAGTGAGTACATTTTACAAATGAGTTATCTTTTCATATCTGTCAAGTATGAGAAAATAGATAGCACAATATGATGCATTAATGTTTTATTTTTAACTACTAATTTCTTCCTCTAATTTTGAGAAAATAGTTCTATCTCATGTTAGGGCTTATGAGATTTTTTATAAAAGTTCAAACTAAACACATATTTTAAGCATTTCTACAATACTATATTATAATACCAATGTATGCTTCTTTACGAGCATTATCTAAATCAAAAGATTTAATCAGACCTCGTTCGATTCTCAATTTTTTTAAAATGCATTTTTCCCTCTCTTCTTTTTAACTATACATTTTTCAATAAAATAATATTATAAGCTAACTCAAAAAATTTTCTTCCTTTTTAACTACACATTCTCTATCAAATCATTATTCCAAAATGCATTCTTCACAAAAAAAAAAAAAGGGCATCAAACAGGCTCTCAATCTAGACCTTCACAAATATGATATATAACTAGTTAGATGCACGTGCAAGGCACGTGTCATAGTATAATTGACTACATAATAGCATATATATATAAAAAATTATTTGTTTTAAGCTTTAATTACATCAAATTTAAGCATTGCGCCCAATAGGAACCCTAGAAAAGCAAACGAAAAGATCACCAAAACATTGCCACCCATACTTGGATTGTTGAGAACTTGTCCATTCAGGAATCTCTAATCCTCGAGCCATCTCCCAAAACACATTTTGTAGCTCCTCAACGCTGTATGTCTTACCCTGCATACAAAAAATGGGGTTAGTCAAACCTCTGAAAATGAGATTACAGGACACAAGAAATGTATCACAACTAATAGACTCTTGCAAAGAAAATTACGTATCCATCAATCAAGAGGGCAATGGTCTTAAATACTTAATCATTTCCTAGAATGGAGGTTACAAACCAACCCATGAACAAATTTAACCAGTTAAGGTCAAAGCCATAGATTTTCATCACCTAATAAGCTACTGATTATGATACATAAAAGATGCTTACATAACAAATCAGTAAATAAGAAGATAAATATTTGCAATATCATCATACTCTTGATAACATCTTATATTAGAATGTTTTATTTTCATGATTTACGTGTATTGATGATCATTCTTAGAGACAATCAGAAACCGAAGAAATCAAAAAATGTATTCCCAATTAGGTTTTCACTTACTATGTCTTTTCTCCAATCATACTATCGGATCAACTGCTAAATATACATTATTTTGAGTTTCAATAAAAGATTAAATTAGTTTCACAGCTTATGCATAATTCATGCCATGTTTAGTTCATATAGAAAAGCAATTGGATCTCGATGACAATGTAAACCATATCAAGAATGGAAGCAATATTCAACAAGTTACAGAAGTAACACAAACTCAATTATCGAAAAATGGCAAAACTTGAAACACCGAGAATCAGAGAATTATTATAAACGCTCTCCAAACAAAATCATATAAAACGTAGCTAAACAAAGGCCAAGTCAAAGGTTTCAAATTGATGGCTTCAACATAATAAAATGAGAATTCAAGAAAATGGTGTTTAAAAATGAACTCGTCGTATCCCTACCTCTTTCCTCTCATCATTCATAAGGGACATCATTTCTTCAAGAAAATCAGCAAATCCCTATACAGAAGATAAATATAACATACTTTAGGATAAAATAATCTCTCCAAAATACACTAATAATTCAAATGTGGACATACTAAACAAACACCTACTTCGACTTCCTCGTCGTCAGGATCATATACACTGGCATTGTCCTCTTGCTCTGATATGATAACATTGTTTTTAGTCAAATAACATTCAATCGGCAAAGAAGTTAAACATATCCTTCTTAACCAATAATAATCAACAAACTAAAGAATAATTACTTCAACAAAATAGAAAAATGCTTAAAAAGAAAATATCGCCTGAATAGAGTCAATAGACTTCTTGAATTTGTTGAAATTTCTGATTAACCTCGGGTTTGTTAGTCAATTTATCCACATGCCATTGATGCAGCAAAGTCAACACGCAAAACTTATAACCAAGATTTAAGAATTATAGACCATTATCATTCAATTTTCACACATCCGCCAACCAACCCATCCGCAAAGCAAAAACTAAAACTAAAACTAAAGGAGAATCAAGATTGTAAATTTTGAATTTTTGAGAATTAAAAGGTTTTTCAAAAAACGCTACCAACATGTCTTCTATTAGAGAAAATTTGAAAATCGTCTTCAGCTTAGATTAAAAAAAAGTCGAGATCGGTTAACTATAATAACATATCGGCCAAGAAATCAACAAAACGGAGTTTTCTTGTCATCAGGTTTTAGATGAGAAAAATGAAGTTTACCACAAATCAAACCCATTAGATTAGTGATTCCTATGGCTATGTATTTAGTTGGTATCCCTAGGTTTTAATAAATTGAATCTGATATATTAATTACTTACATGTAGATTCTACAATTATAAACAACGTTTTTCTCTTTATACAACTTAATGATCATTATCAATGTTCTTCTCTTTATACCACATCAATTTTTCTACTTAATTTTATCTAAACTTATTAGTTATCTTCTTTTTACTAAACTCTTGGTTATGCATTAATACTTCCTCAATTTTATATATTTTCGAAACATCTCTCTAATTAATTAATTACAACCCATCGCAAATTTCTCTTTTAACATTAAAGAATAACATAACAAATATTGTCCACCGAGTGTTTGATACAAGCGTCAACCAATATAGCACCTCAGAAACTAATGCTAGTTCTAGTCCTCAACCATTAGCGGCAATCGGATGTCGTTTCCTTTCCACAAGAACCAATGTCTCGAAATTGCATTATCTTGAATGTTTGTTTCATGACCATCCCCAATATGATTATTTGATGATTTCTGATAAGTACGTTTTACATACTTATTTTACTGTCAAAACATGAGCAATTGCTGATTAATATGTTGGAATATAGCTTAATTCTATACAATTCATGCTTTGCAAGACAAGTGATGAATGTAGTGGAAATAAGGAGAAACAAGTGAAAAATGATCAAAATGGAAGCAAGTGAAAGTTCAAGGACTAAAGTGTAAATACTCAAAAATTATGTCGGGGCTTATGATGACGGTTCGAGAGTGTTAAAGATCGATTGGAAGCAATTAGAAGTCAAAAGGGAATGGAATATTATCAAAATCATTTTTCAATTCGCACAAGATATATTCCAGATTTTTAGCCAAATATTGAGACCCATTTTTGGCATAGTAAAAGTCCGAATTGGAAAAGAGCTATTTCTAACAAAGTTGCAGCTCTTTGAGTTATATTTCTAATGCATTTTGAATCGTCTAAATCGGATATTGAAAGAGAAAGTTATAATTAAATTACTGACTATTATGCAGAGACAAAAAATCTGCGCCCAAAAGCAACTTTCCTTATTCGATTAGAATTCTTTTGGAAACCAATTTGGACGCGATTTTCATCCAATTTCCGACTCTTACAAATACTTAAAAGCAGAATACATATGGAGGAAGCCCCCATGCACCATTCTTCTCCTCTTTGACTCAAAAAACCTCATGGAGAACTAAAACCATTGGTGAAGATACGAAGACACTCGATTGGAATTGGTGATTTCATGTCTTTTATTCATTTAATTTTATATTTTCNTATATCCTTCATAAATCTGGTCATGCTTCTTTTATCATTAGAGTAAACTAGTTGTTGAATTTTAATCTCAATTTCACTTTATTGGCAGATTGATTACTGTCTTATACTTGATGTATATGGTCGATATTTGATCTTATTCCAATAAAATTGTGCGAATATGTGTTAAGTCTAAATTTTAGAATTACATTTGTAAATTAAATTTATTTTCACGATATATCTTCCGATTAGAGTGTCGGATGAAACCTCTAATTGTATTATAAAAATGAATAATTGATGTGATTAATCCAATTCAATTGAGGGAATTCTAATGCTTCACTGCTTCAAATTATTGATCTTAATTTCACCTTTCAACATTGAATGTTATTACACATTTGAGAGAACAATTCAGTATTTTTTATTTTTTAAATATTCTTTCATCTCCCTGTGGATACGACACCCCAAAGTTGTGCTACAACTATCGCGTTATTATTTGGGCGTAATCAATTTCAGCTCGTCAAGTTTTCTCTTCAATTTGGAAACCTTCGCATACATTCTGTGCACAGAACATAGATCACTATAAAAGTCAAGAAACTTGACTTGAGTAAGCACAAGTTACCCTTTTTATCCCTTACAAGTGCAGAACTTATGGACCTATCAATTGGTATTAATTGGGAGATTGATGCTCTTTTTAGAACACATCATTGCATTTGTTAGTCAGATTGGTGGCAGAGAAGATCAAGCAACATTATTTCTCAACATACAAAATAGACATTTATCTGATAACAAAACAAGAATTATTAATTCCATGAGCAAGCAATATAAATTAATACCATTTACAAAACTCGTACAAATATAAAATCTACTTCAAAAAGTTTTGATTAACTTTAATTAAATGGAGTAAAATGATATTTTATTCGTAAGTTTGATGTACCAAAATTATTCGATAGTTTTGCTATTGATATAAATTCAATGAAATTTCATAACCTTTTACAAGCAAAGATTGGATGTTGAACCATGGGCCGCCCTGCTAATGGAAAAATGGCCTTGGAATATTTAATGACAATAGACTAAATCTAGTACTTGCACCTCAAAAATCTCAATTTAACAAAAAAAAAATTCTTAATTTTTCCTACAAAGATATAGTAATATAAAAAACGGATAATCTTATCCAATCCCAAAAATCCAATCATTTAATTAAAACTAAAACATTTCCAATAGTTACAATCAATTCAATAAAAAAACTCGTTATTCCCTCTAAGAATAATCAAATTCTAATCAATAACACGCTGCAATCATACATAGTAAATTACTTAAAGATAAAAGAAAAAAAAATGAACAAAATTCATACCTTTTGTGGGTCCACCCACCATGATCACAACAACTTTTTTTTTTCTGAACTTCCCATTTTCCCACCAAAACAAAGCAATATCCAGATCACAAAATTCTCTGTGCAATTAATAATTGAACACAATTCCAAATTCTACAATATGTGTAGACTTTGGAGTGTGTTCAATTATTACTTTCGATCAATTAATTCTTCAACAAAACATTAAAATTTTGGATTGATTATTTACAAGAGGGAAAGAGGTTAATTATGGTTGGAATACATTTGGCAAGAAGCTGGAGAAATAGCATTATAAGTTTCTATAGAACTCCCCGGCGTGCTGATAATTATTTGTTGTTTCTCTTCATCAATCTTGATTAATTTCTGCATTCGGTTGAGTTTGACACGTGGTTCATGCTATTGAGTATAGTTACACATAAGATTCATTTAGAATATGTAATTCATTTCGCAACGAATCTGATGTGTAAACTTTAATGATTACATTGCTTTGTAACATGCATCGAGGCTCTTCCCCAGATTAAGCTGCTAGATATTGGCTTATAATCAAAGTTTGTTTTCTTTTGACACGGACCCTTTTTAAAAATTTATTTTGGAAAATCTCAAAAATTCAACAGTGGTTTATTTTTGTTCTTTCTTCAGATTATTTTCAAAATCTAAAATATGACCAGAACTAACATATAATGTCCGAGAACTAAAACTAAAAGAATTGAGAAAGAAACATATCAATTAACCTTTGGGCCTCATAGAAGGCTTCGAATCACCATATCTCCATCTCTCATCTCTCTTTTCCTCCTAAAATTTATTTTTAAAAAATTAATACATTTCACTTTTATTTCGGTCTAATTCAAAGATTTTTAATAAATAAGTAAAAATGAAAAAAAAAATAGAAATGAAATTTACCTTTCTATTGTACCCATGTTTATCGTGACGATCACCGCTTGTGCTGGAATCAACATGATCATCCCATTCTCCGGACACAACTTGTGTGTACACCATTAAATTCTAATGAGAAAATGACTATCAGTCAAATGAAAAAAAATATCATTTCAACTTTTAGAGCGAAGAAAGGAAGAAAGCATTAGTGATTCAAATCTGGGGTTTGGTTGTCGAAAAAAAAATGAACAAACAAAAATCATTCATCATAGAGGATACAAACCAACAAAATCAAACAATAGAGAAAGAAACAGTAAAATTAGTTCATTCAACACTCCGGTTGTGAAACAATTGTAAACCCATTCTTCAAGAGTAGCTTTATCTGCAGAGAGGCTCGAATCGACATGGAAAGCTCCGATGAAATTATGCAGCTTATAGAGAGAGTCTTGACAGAAAGAAAATGAATATAGAGAAGAAGGAGAAGTATAGATGGTTGTCTCGAAAATGGTGGAGTAAAGAGAGATGGATAGTTGTGAGAAGAGAATGGAGTGATGGTAGCGTGAAATGTTTGAGACAAATGGGGAAAGAGTGCAGGGGAAAAGTCAGAAAAGTACAGCTTTTACACTATAAAAATAATATTGTCAGAAAAGAACAATGCATTGTGAACATTCTGTCCAAAATTCATGATAATCAGATAACAAAACGTTGTGATATCATCATTTTAATCATAGGCCATAGCTACACAGGCTGTCTAGATTCTGTGAAAATTTGTAATGTTTATTTTGAAGTAATAATAAAATTCTTCTATAGCATATAAAGTCACATATTTTCACAAGCATCAATCTAATGGCCCGTTTGGGAGGGATTAAAATCCAATTAAAATTGAAAATATGGCCGTTATTGGATTCCACTCGTCTAATAAAATCAAACTAAAAAAAAAAAAGAAAAAAAAAGATGGCTCAGCTAACGCGGCTCAACCAACTCAGCTAGGCCTCGGTGGCCAAACGGCTTGTGAATAGTGGCAGGGAAAGTCACTCTTTTATTTGAGTAGGAGATAAAATAAAAATACTTTTAAAAGATAGACTTACTTAAATTTGACAAATCTAAAAAACTTTATAAATGTGATAGAAATATTATGAATTATTACTCAAATTTGATAGTTTTATAGAAACTTGAATAGTTGAGAAATCTCATATATTCTTTAAATATATCAATCTGGGATTTTTTTGAAGTATTTTAAAAATTAACTAATGGCCACATAACTATTTTTCACGAATGAACTGTTAGATTTTGATCTTAATTGTTAGATTTGAAGAACAATGCATTGTGAACATTCTGTCCAAAATTCATGATAATCAGATAACAAAACGTTGTGATATCATCATTTTAATCATAGGCCATAGCTACACAGGCTGTCTAGATTCTGTGAAAATCTGTAATGTTTATTTTGAAGTAATAATAAAATTCTTCTATAGCATATAAAGTCACATATTTTCACAAGCATCAATCTAATATTCTTCTAAAATATTGATTTGTATAAATTCATACTTATATTGGGGAATTAACAGCAAATTTTTTTTATAGAACCTTAAGATGTCTAATGTTTATACTTTATACCTTTTCAGTAGTATTAACATAATATTTCTCTAGAATATTATATAAATAGAGTCATGTTTTACCAAAAATATCTGTTAGATTTTTAGTTATATTGGTAATTCTTTAGACAAAATGATTATTGTAAAAAAATAGAATTGTTACAAAAGAATTGTAAAAGTCAAGGAGTCTTTTGGAGGGTTGTATACATAAATTAGGAGTCTTTGGGTTCAAGAATGGAACAAAAAGAAAGAGTCGTCGGATTTACGCTAGCATATCGCCTAGCTGATGCTTAAGCATCCAAAGCAGAATCATTGTCGCCCGGCTCTCGCTCAAGCTACACACCTCTCGCTGGTCTGGCGCTCGAGCAACGGTGTTGTCCTAGAAATCATAATTTGTTTTTTCATGAGTTTTATCTATCATACACTACCTAAACTCCACATATTATAAATACCCAATGCCCAGTACATTTTTTGTGGTGGTTGATCATTATTTACATCTTCATAACATCATTCCGATATTCAATAACACATTCAACAATCTAAATTAACATTTTGATTCTTGAGATCAATCAACCACAAATTTGAGAAAAATATCAATTTTTTATAATCTAAAATGCACACTTCCTAGATATCATTAGGAAGGTACTTTCTTAATAGCTTTAAGAGGTTTGTGAAGATTGAGGGGGGTTGGACTAGAAGTACAGGAAGAGTAAAAGAACGAAGAGTTATTGGTGTTCCACAGGACATAGACAATTTCAGAAGATCGGGAGTATGTGTGAGTGAAATAATTTTCAGCGGGTCTGGATTCTACTGTAAATTGTTATTGTCTATAGTGAAAACTATTGGCTTGGTCCCGGAGTTTTTACCCAGTTAAGATTTTCTTCCTCATCAAATATTGTGATATTTATCGATTTAATTATTTATTGCGACAATTCAACATAAGGTAATTTGACTTGATTGGCTAAACATCCAAAACAATTAAAACGTGACTTGTTGCTTTTAATTAATAAATTTAATTCTGCGTTATTCACGTATTAGGTGATTTTAGGGTTGAACTAATAACTTTCAAGTGGTATTAGAGCCCAAATTTGATTCCTAACCCTAGTTTTCTAGATGAGTAGTTCATTGTTAGTCCCGCCATATTTTGATTGCAGTGACTATGTTTATTGAAAAGTTAGAATGAGAGTCTTCTTGAAATCGATGGATGCGCGTATTTGGCTGAGCGTAGTGAATGGTTGGACCGTCCCATCTATCATAGTTGCAGGTGTAGTTACCGCTACTGATATTTCAAGTTGGTCTAAGAAAGATTTAGATGAGTGTAATTGGAATAATAAAAGGCTTCATGCTCTATTTATGCCCATATCATCTGAAGAATTTAGACTTATGTCTATGTATGAGATTGTTAAAGAGGTTTGAGATATTTTACAGACCACACATGAGGGAACTCGGGATGTTAAGAATTCCAAGTTACAGATGTCAACCAATAGGTTTGAAAAAATTAGGATGAAGGATGATGAGACTTTCGATGACTTTTATGCGAGCTTGAATGACATAGTTAATTTTAGTTTTAACCTAGGTAAGAGAATTCTTGAGTCTAGATTGTCAAAACAATCCAGAGATCATTACCTGAAAGATTTAGGCCTAAAGTTACATCTATCGATGAGAGTAAGGATCTAGATACTGTTAAGATTGAAGAATTGGTTGGATCTCTCCAAACTTATGAACTCACCATATCTCAACCTAAGAAGAACAAGTTTATAGCCTTGAACACTGTTAGGGAAGAAGAGTATGATTCATCTTATTCGAAATCACTTAATGATGAGGAAATAACCTACTTTGTTAAGAGTTTTCAAAAAATGTTTAGAATTAAGAAGAATACTAAAGAGACACATAGAGGTGATTTTAGTGAGTCTAGAAAGAGATCTAAATCTGTGAGATGTTATAAGTGTCAAGGTTTTGACAACTATAGAAGTGAGTGCCATAATAGTAAGAGAAATCAGGGTAAACTTATGGATGTAATTCTCACTGATGACGAGTCTAGTTTAGATAATCAAAGTGAGATGTCGACACATGAGGAGAATGGGAAGTTTATGGCCTTCACTGCCAGGATTAAAAGTGAATCTGGTAAGGACGGTGAGAATGTTGAGGAAGTAGATAGTGGTGAGCAATCTGAGGAAGATTCTGAAAATGAGAATGAGATTCGTGAGCCTTATCAAAAATTATTTGAAGAGAGTCTTAAAATTAAGAAGGTTAACAAAGTCGTGCTTAAGAATATCAATGAACTTGAGCTACTTAGAGAGAAACTTGTAGTTGACCTTTAGGAGTCAACCTTATGCCTCAACAAATTAGAAACTGTAAATCGATCCATAGAGTCTATGATTAAAGATCTTACAAGTGAACTTGAGAAGTCCTCTAGGAGAGTTAGTGAGCTGACCGTTGAGAATGAGAAATTGAAAATCTAGGTTAAGAACCTTCTAATCAAACTTGAAGATTCCAAGTCTCAAGTTCTTGCTTACTCTAGTGGATTTCAAAAATTGGATAGTATTTTGGGGCTGAACAAGCCCATTGGGAATAAGGGAAGTTTAGGATATAATCAGACCAATCATAATATGGTTAGTACTTCCAAAACCATTTTTATCCCTACCACCAACTAGCCTACGTATGTCCCAATCCTGAACTCAAAAATAAGGGTATCGTAGGACAGAAGCCTACTAGACAACGTAGAACCTACCAATCTAGGAATAGATATCACCAACCACATAATTTTGTACCTAGGTTTATCTCTACCTGTTTCAATTGTGATGAGTTAGAACATATAAGGCCTTTATGTCATAAATTCATGAATAGAAATAAAAATTAGAGTTTCACTAGAGTTAGAAATCAGGATTTTGATTGCCGAATTGACTTCCTTGCTAATCAAGTGAGTCATTTGACCAAGTTTATGATAGATTTGACTCGGGATAAGTCTTCCACTAATCAGGCTTGGGTGAAAAAAGTGATCTAAAAAAATTAGAAATTGATCATGGTATTCTTAAAGGTAAGAACGTTTGTATACCTAATTGATTAGGTACTTTTGATGCATGCTTGTACTTTTTAATTGATTCGTTCATTATTGCATGCATCATTTTTTAGAAGTTGTTTTAACTTTTTAGGTAGTTTGATTTTTTTAAAATAAAAAAATAAACAAAAATTGAAAAATAAAAAAAATAGAAGGAAAATTCTTTACTACACCATGATGTATGATTTACTTGAACATGTATGTTGTGATCAAGTATGAGTTTAATTGATTGTTGTATCATATTTTTCATTACATTGTTTAGGGTGATATGGAGTATTTAGTATATATTTCTTCATGTACCATCTGCATTGCACAACACACACTATGATCTTGTGAGTAAGTCTTGACCGCGTGTGTGAGATTTGGGATGACCGTCATCTGGTAAGGTGACATTGAACGCAGATTGACCTTAATTTAGTAAACCTAAGTT